TGAGTGAGCTCATTGACCTCCTTTTTGAGAGTCTCATTTTCCACTATTAGTGAGGCATCACAAGTGAAACCATCACTCATAGATGAAGTAGTAGTGGATGAGCTACATGAAGGGTCAGTAGGAGCAACAACAATAGGAGTATAAAATGATTCATCAATTATATCACAAGTTACTCCTACATTGCACGTTGCAATAGGTTCCTTCTCCTTTTGAACAATAAGAGAAGAGTGAGCTTTTTCAAGCTTCTCATGGGCTTCCACTATCCTCTCATGAGTAGCATTAAGCTCATCAAAGGATTGCTCAAGAGCTTGATGCCTCTTACGTAGTTCTTTGAATTCCTTTCTCTTCTTCTCCATGTAAGAATGAGCCTCTTGTAACATGTCCATGAGGTCCTCCTTTGAGTACTCCTCATCATCCTCACTCTCACTATCACTCTCATCATCGGATTGTACCTTAGTGGCCTTAGCCATGAAGCATGTCGATGGAGTGTCAAATAGAGAAGGCTTGTTGTTGATAGCAATAGTAGCGATCGCCTTCTTCTTTCTTGTCTTATTTTCATCATCACTATCATCATCACTTGAAGAGGCATCACTATCCCATGTGACACAATATGAGTGACGCTTCTTCTTCTTCTTGAAGGTCATCATCTTGCCTTTCTTGTCCTTCTTCTTCTCTTTCTTCTCATCATCACTATCACTAAGGTGATCTTTGTTCTTGCATTTGTAGCATCTTCTTGGTTGCTCTTTGTTCTTGGATTGATCTCTTCTCTTTCTTGCACCATAGCCCTTCTTCTTCATGAATTTGCCAAATCTTCGCACAAAGAGAGACATTTCTTCATCTTCATCATCACAAGCATTTGACTCTTCATCATCACTTGGTTCTTCCTTTTTAGCCTTGCCCTTGCTCTTGGATGACGAAGTACCGGCCTTGAATGCCACACTTTTCTTCTTCTTCTCTTCTTCTTGGACAACCCCATCCCTTTCCACACGATATGTGTCTTGTGTGACTACTTCACCTAGTACTTGGTTTGGGGTCATTGTCTCCAAGCCATCTCTCACAAGAATAGTGACCAAGGTATCAAATCTAGGTGGCAAGCATCGCAAGAACCGATGAGAGAAGTCCTTGTCCTCCACTTTCTCACCTAATCTCTTCAAATCATTGATGATCACTTGCAATCTGTGAAACATCTCTGGTATACTCTCATTTTCTTGCATCTTGAAGCTTGTCAATTTTTCTTTGAGGATGAATAGCTTGGCACTCTTGTCTGCCTTAGAGCCCTCATATGATTCTTCCAATCTTGTCCATACATCATGAGCAAACTCTAGATCCTTGATTTGCTCAAACACTTTAATATCAAATGCATCATATAAAGTGCTAAGAGCAATGTCATTGAATTGGAGCTTCTCTTCTTCTCTTGGAGTTGGATTTGTTGGATCAATCACCGCAAAATCCTTCTCCACAACCTCCCACACTTTTCTATTCATTGATTTCAAGTGTGTGCTCATCTTCCTCTTCCAATAATCATAGCTCGTGCCATCGAAGAATGGTGGCTTCCCCATATGGTTGATTAAGCCTCAAATAAACGGCGACCATGGCTCCGATAACACTTGAAAGGTCCTAAATGGCTAGAGGAGGGTGAATAGCCTAATAAAAATTCTACAAAATGACTAGAGCAACTTGTTAGACAATAAGATGGCGAAATAGCACTTTGCTCTAGCTCTACCTTTATCACTAGCAAGCCACCAACACAAAGCTAGTCACTATGATCTCTATGTCAATATCACACAAACAATTAAGCTAGGTTGCAACTACACTAACTAGCGAGCTAGTTACAACTAATTACAACTAAACAATTTAACTAGCTACACAAGGTAAGCAAGCAAACTTTACACAATTATACTAGGAAAAGAAATACAAGTGATAGAGCGATATACCAAACCGGGCAAGTGTCAATATAGAATTCCAATGAGACAATGTGACACAAGATTTATCCCCGTGGTTCGGTTGCTTGTCGGCAACCTACTCCACGTTGTGGCCATACACTCACTTGGTGGCTCACGCGCTAATAGGCATCACACGCCTAGCCCTACACAAGGGCGCCGTAAGAACCAAGCACAAGAGAGGATCCACAAGCCACGAGCAAACCACTAGAGTTGCCTTTCATGATCTCCCATGGGGAATAGGCACAAGAACCCCTCACAAGCACCTTGATTGGGGGCGGACACAATCACCAAATCTCTCACCAGTCAACAAATCACCAACCGTCTAGGTGACGGCAATCACCAAGAGTAATAAGAAATCCACAATCACAATCACCACCTAGTGCCACCAATTTTGCGATCTCAAATGCACACACTAGGGTTTCCCCCAAATCCTCTCTCAAATGAGCACCAAGCTTTGGAGAAGGAGAGGAGAAGGAGGAGATGTTCTTCACACTCTCAAGATCAACACTTTGAGCTCTCAAGATCTCTCTTAGGATGAGCACCAAGATTGGAGAGAAAGAGAGGAGAGGGAAGAACTTGCTCTTCACTTTTCTTGTTCTCTCGTTAGAAGAATGGAAGAGGTGAGAGAAAGGAGAAGGGGCAGCCAACTTAAAGGCTCCCCAACCGTAGCCCCCTTACCTACCAGCCGGCCAGCCTCTCAACTGGTGGAAACGACGACAGGCAACGGGCGGCCAGCCAAGCAGCGCCCTCTCTCACACTAGCATGTTGCCCCTCCGCTTCAACGGCTAAACACGCGCTTCTCACGGGCAAGCACGTGCTCCTACTCGTGTCCGTGCGCAGGAACAACGATGGAAAACAGACGAGCAGAGATGGCAGCAAACGGCACCGCGCTTGCTCTCTCCCTCAGGCGAAGTGGCAGACGCGGGCCAACAACCGATCGACAGCGCACAACAGTCGCTGGCACAGCGCTGCTTCCCCTCTCACGTGAAGTCAACGGCGGCAGCAGATTGCTCTCCCTCTCACGCGCTTTCTCTCTCTCTCTCTGGTCCCCCACTCACTATTCCTGACCAAGAAATTTTTGTTGAGGAGGGAGAATTGCTGGTTGAGCAATCACTCAACCAGGGCACCCACCACCGGCAATTTTGCTGGTTGAACAAGAAATTCTTGTTAGACTGCATAACATGTCCGAACCAAGTGCTATCTCTTCCCAAAGTTACCAAACTAATTTTAGCACTTGAGATAGCTTTTCACAAAGAATTTTCCTGGGCTTTCTCATGCATCTCACCACGTCATGAAGCGCAAAGTATATGCAAATGAGACTCACACTTAGTGGCACTAGATAACCATTGCAATTAAAGATTTATCCTCTTTATAGTACGGTTATCTATCCTAAATCCGATCATGCACTATATTGTGTCTTGACCGACAAAACAAATACCCTATTTTATACCTTTGCCTTGAGCCCATAGGGTTTTGTTTTTCTCTTTCTTCTTTTCCAAATGTGGAGCAATTTATCATCAATTTGGCCGTCATCATCACATTTGAGTGCCATCTAGCTCCACCTTGGTGTGAACCAACCTATCTCATATATCACTTAGAGCAAGAGGTTAGTTCACTTAGGTTTCATCAATTATCAAAAACCAAACCAGAGCTTTCAGCGGTAGAGATAGCAACACATCTGGCAAACCCTTAGTTGTACATCTATATAGATTATTTTTTGCATATGTTTTGACTAGGTTGTTTTAGAGGCTATAGTTTAGAAATAGTTTTTAAGATGACTAATTCACTCCCCTCTTAGGTGTCACGGTCCGTTCAGTAGTGATGCAGCCGGGGCTCCAGGAAGAGATCCTCATGGCCGAGCAACTCGACGTTGTAGCGATACAGTCGGGGAGCCAGGAAGGATTGAGGCTGATCTAGATGCGAGTTTTCATTTTATAGGGAGGAGATTAGGTTACGGGTGAAGCGCAAGGGACGTGCAGAAGGCGAAGCGCAATCCTTCCTGGCTCGGGATGCGGAGTTTTCAAATCTGAACGTGGAGAAGGTGAAGTGCAAGGGACACATGACCCTGTTCGCTTCTCTTATAATCCGTACTTTTCATCTTCTTTTTTCAGCCAGAATAGTATTTTTCTCCCACAACAAATCAGCCAGAACAGTGTTTTGCCTTTTTTTCAGCGAAACTAACGGTGCCATAATGGCTTCATGTGATAGCTTTGTTCCATGGACGATGTCCACGGGACCCGCACACAGGGCGCAAAGCAGACCGCACACTCGAGGCGCCAGTTCCACGCAAATACACGCGGAGTAGCGTGGATGGCTAACCGTACATGAACAGCATCCAGGGGTGCTCTGTGCGCTCTGATCCATCATTATCATATAATAATAAGTAGAGGGGTATTTTACTTTCACTCAGACAAGCACCAATACTGTATGGGATGGCAAGTTGTATAGCCAGCCATATAGTAATAAATAATAACGCGGGCGATTAACAGCCCTGTTCGCTTTTCTTATAATCCGTATTTTTCAACTTGTTTTTTCAGCCGGAACAATATTTTTCTCTCACGACAAATCAGCCGAAACAGTGTTTCGGTTTTTTTTTCAGCGAAGCGAACGGGGCCGTTCTACTAATTGGCAGCACAAAGTTGTTTCATATCTCAAACAATAGACATCTGCATGTTACAAGTAATGGAGCACCTCATTACATTACATTAATGAGTCCAAGAACTGGACACCACACTAGGTAGCTTACATCACCGTACGAATCAGGAGAACAGTTGAGCCTTGTAACACTCAGCTGCAGGGCAACTAACACACACCTAGCTACCTCATTCTACTTCTCCTTGCACTCGCTCGGGTAGTGGCTCTGCTTGCCTGCCCTTTTTCGGCGGTGGCTGTGGGCCAGCCACTGTAGCTATCGTAGTCACCTCACGGCACATTTTTCTCTCTCCAGCCATTGTAGCTATCGTAGTCACAGCGCTGCACAATGTTGGAAAAGTCAAGTGCTCTTTCGTGCTCTTTCAGAGCTTAGACTTTTCCCCCACAAACCATGCAAAACCATGTTTACCTCATTCTACTTCTCCTTGCAGTTGCTCTACTTCTCCTTGCAGTTGCTCGGGTAGTGGCTCTGCTTGGCTGCCCTTTTTCTGCAGTGGCTGTGGGCGGCATATTTTTCTCTCTCTCCAGCCAGCCATTGTAGCTATCGAGGACTTTGTTGCTGCTGCTGCAGCAGCAGTCATCGCATGGCACATTTTTCTCTCTCCAGCCATTGTAGCAATCGACGACTTCATTTCGGCAGCAGCAGTGATTCAACAAGTTGGAAAAGTCGAGTGCTGTTTCAGAGCTTGACTTTTCCACCACAAACCATGCATAACCATGTTTACCGAACCAATCCATTCCATATTTCGGTAGCTCTGGCTGACACGAAAAACAATTGACCGCGTCTGATTGTATTGTCTCCACCACTTGTTGTATGCTACTAGCATTTCTATACTCTGTTGCATCTCCGATGATTTCGAGTGCATAACTATCTTGTGTCCCAGTCACAGCATGAGGCGTGAAGGCAGCTGTCAGCACCACAGGTGGCTCCCAACCTCTGTTTTTGCTTCTTCCGCACTCATGAAATGAGCTACGTGTTTTGGACTGTAGAGCTGATATATAGCACCGGAAATCCAAAACAATAATTTGCTCTGGGAATATATCTGCTAACTCTGATGAGACGTTGTTGTTAGCACAAAGTCCGTGCCTGCTTCCTTTGCAGCATGCTGGGTCTGGGCGAGAAATTTGTGTGTGCTTGATATGCCATTCTTGAATGCCCTCCCACAGAGGCCCATGCAAATGGGCAATGTCTTGTGAATTAGATAGTAGGGTGAGTTCTCCCATTGCATATTCAACAGCAAGTTTGAATTGAGATGCTAGTAATTGCAAGCCTTTTATAGCAATCTCAACTAAGTCTGTGCTTTCTGTTAGTCGTAGGATCAACCCCAGACAGAAACATTTCTCAGCCACTGTGCTATCCTCATAACGGTATGCTAGCAATGCCTCCACGCCACGCTCATCAGAATACGTGGGCTTGATGTAGAGATGTCGTAGCAGGTTTCCTTGCTTCGAATAATAAGTGAGAGTTTTCCCTTCAAGGAGATGCCTAACAATAGGGTTCCAAAAGGTGTAGTGATGAAGTGAACAACCAGACTCCAAGTCCCTCACAAACCTTCCAGCACAATCTGCATACCATTCAAATCTTCCAACATCAACTGTGCTCAAGCCAGCACAATTAAACCATCGCTTGCGGGAGCTCTTCCTGGCCGGCTGGCCGGGAGGCATCGCTTGCTGCTTGTGCTTGTCCAGCAGCTCCATGGCCTCGACGTAGGCACGCTTGATATTCTTCCTGCGCTGGAGCAAGGAGAGGTGTCTGATGGGCAGCTCCATGGCCCTCTCAAGTGCAAACTCCAGCTCGCTGACTGCCATCTCGAGCCTCTCCGTCAAGTGCCCTTGGGACGCCTTCTCCTCGCGTCTGCCCAAAGCAAAGGAGACGCCTCTGCTCACGGTCTCCTGAACAAGTGCTGAACACACCATCTCTGCCATGAAGTCGCTACTCGCTAGCTGTAGGGATATGATTCAACCAACCTGCTGATCAGGACACAAAACAACAGCAGGAGTTATACTCCAATTTGACGCACACAAGTACCGAAGTACGTACTGGATAAATATATATACTAGCTGTAAATCTGTAATATGGAGGAGTGCATGTTTTTCATGCTTAATTGGGTTACCGGCCGATGCATATGCATGGAATATAATCCTTATTACCTTAGCTCTCCTCTAGATCATGCGTCGGCCTCCCTGCAGGCTGATGCAGCACCAACTGAAGGGATGAAGGAGGAGGGATCACCAACAGATATCAAAGAAGCCGCACACACTGCTGTGTTCCTCATTATTACTGGAGTCTATCTATATATAGAGAGAAGCGAAAATGTATGGAGCCATGGAGGGGACTTTTTTGTGCTGTGTACAGTAGTGTGAACCTGCACAAACAAGTGGAGCTGGAAAATTCAAGGAAGTGCTGAGGATCCTACCACTACTAGAGGCCGCGGCTTTGCCGAGTGTTTTTACGCTCGGCAAAGAGCCCTTTGCACTCGGCAAAGGCTTTGCCGAGTGTAGCACTCGGCAAATTCCGCTCGGAAAAATTTTTCTCGGCAAAGGGTCTTTGCCGAGTGTTTTTTATCGGAGCACTCGGCAAAATAAAAAAAAATTGCCGAGTGCTTGGGGCGGCACTCGGCAAAATATTTTCGGCCGTTGCGGCGCCGGCCGTTAACGGTTATTTTGCCGAGTGCCCGACCCAGCACTCGGCCAAAAAAAATTATTTTTTTTAAAAATTACTTTGCCGAGTGCCCCAGCCTAGGCACTCGGCAAAGTTTTTTTTTTTTTTAAAAGTACCTTGCCGAGTGCCCCTGCCCAGGCACTCGGCAAAGTTTTGTTTTATTTTTTAAAAAAAATTACTTTGCCGAGTGCCCCTGCCTAGGCACTCGGCAAAGTTTTTTTTTATTTTTTTTAAAATAATTTCTTTGCCGAGTGCCCCTGTTTAGGCACTCGGCAAAGAATTTCTGAATTTTTTTTAAAAAAATACTTTGCCGAGTGCCGCGGCGAGGCACTCGGCAAAGAAATTATATATTTTTTTTTTGAAAAATCTTTGCCGAGTGCCTTGCCCATGGCACTCGGCAAAGACCCCGAGAATTGCAATTTTTTTTACATTCCATTGTAACAGACAATATATATATATATATATATATATACATACATCAATCATCACATCTATATCACCAACATGCATTATATATCACAAGCACACGCATATTTAATAAATTCATCGAAAATCCATCACAAATGCACCAAAGTTCAACATCACAAGTTTATTATTACAAGTTCAACATCACAAAGTTCAACATCCCTACTGCGGCGACGGAGACTGCAGGTGTGGCCCCCTGAACTGCGGTGAAGGACCGGACTGCGACGAAGGGTTGACGCGATCAGCCGCCGGTGACACGGTAGCGGGATTGTTTGAACCCGCCGATGGAGGCTGCACAAAAGAGAAGAGATTGCATGTGTTAGACTAAAAGCAGGGGATTGGTTACATCACAAGATACCAGAAACAAGTTTTTTTAGGATAAGAGCATAGTATAACACAGTTGAAGAAACAAGTTTTTTTTTGAGGATACGATGCTTGCAAACCGAAGAATCTCCGAAGAAGTTTCATGATTTCATGAAGAAGCCGACGAGGTGGTAAGCATCGTACGTGACAACTTGTGCGAAACCTTCTCAAATTTTTATCACAGCCTCCACATATGATATCATGACATCTTGACAAGTTTCATGATTTTCGGACTTCGTTTGCTTTTTATAGAATTTAAAAACAACTCGACCGCAAGTTCGTGGTCATGTTTCGTGAACAAGATGTTCGAAATTGGTGGTCTGTTCGTGGATGCGGCCTCACATTATACAAAATAACATGAATATCATTTTTCCATTCAATTTTTTCATTATTCGAATGACTAGCAGTTATAATTTGAATTTTCCAAGAAAATTCAATTAAATGAAATAAATTAAAGAAATATAGAAAAAGTCCGAGAAATGTGCCACATTGGAACATGGAGTACCAGGTATTGTATGAGGACTGCAGAAAAAGTTTGGAGGTCAAAAGTGAAAAAAATATGATTTGCCGAGTGTCAAAAATGACACTCGGCAAATCACCAGTTTGCCGAGTGTCAGGAGAAGACACTCGGCAAAGAATTTTAATTTTTTTTTAAAAAAAACCCTCTTTGCCGAGTGCCAGATCGGGGGCCCTCGGCAAAGGGGGGATTTAACCCCACCGGCCCGCTCCCGCGCCGCCGGAGGAGGAGGAGAAAGAGAGGAGGAGGAGAGGAGAGGAGGAAGAAGGAGGAAGGAGGAAGAGAAGGAGGAGGAGGAAGAAGGAGGAAGGAGGAAGAAGGAGGAGGAGGCGCCCCGACTGCCGTTGCCCTGTCCCCGACGCTTCCCTAGCCGTCGCCTTGTCCACCAGTGCCCTGGCCCCTTCACCACCGCTGCCCTACGACGCCCACTAGGTATGCCATACCGTCGTCGTCGTAGTAGTATTACTAGTAGTTGCAGTAGTAGTAGTGGTAGAGTAGCAGTGGTGGTAGTCTAAGTAGTCGTAGGAGTGGTTGTGACATTGCTATATATATGTGGTTGGATATAATCTTGTACATGTCGGCCATCATGCTGTTCATATATATATGCATGTCGGTCATCGTGCCGTTAGTTTTCTTGTAGGTTTTGGAAACATCACCGTGCAGGGGAGGTGCTGCCGAAATTTTGTATTGACAGTTTTATGTTTCTTTTTTTTGTAGAGAAGAGCCCGCCGGAGCGGCGCCAGAGTACCTCGGCGACCCCGATCACCTTCCTCGCCGCTGCAGGTCTACCTGCACCGCGTCGCCTCGCCACTGCACCGACCCGCCACGACCCCGCTAGCCTGACTCCACCGCCACCCTAGGTATAACCCCTCTTTCCATATCACGGTCGTAGATCACGTAACCCAGTTAGGCATCTCCCGTTCGAAAGAGATACGGTTGAAAATATGCAGATGTTTCCTTATCTAAAACTGTATCTGTTTCGAATTGTCCATGTTTTTTGGACAGCCCGCGGATGCATGGGTGGGGTTATTTTCCATGGTCTGCTTTGATTCGAGACAGAGTTTCGACATCATCTCCCCGTTGTTCTCCGGATACACACTCTCCCTGGCAGGACGTGTATTTGGAGAGCAGCGGGGAGGTGCTGCCGAAATTCTGTCTCGAATAGGAGTAGAGCATGGAAACTAACCTCATCTATGGATCCTCGCGTGGGATTAGGACCTATCCTCACCTATTAGATAGTAGGAACATTGTGTAGATGCAATTGATGTTTATATTACTCGCCGCTATATATGTTAGAGGATGGAGGACCGTGAGTGGATGTACACGGGCCGCGCAAGTTAGGGTCAGGTCACCAATGAATGGATCGACAAGACCGATACTTTCTTGGAATGGGCATTTGGCGTGGCTGCTAAAGGAGCGAGTAAAATTTGTTGTCCCTACAGCAAATGTGCAAACAGGAAAAGACAAACGAAGAAGGTCATGGGGGAACATCTTTGGAAAAATGGATTTACGGCAGACTATACCCGGTGGGTCTACAATGGTGAAGCCGATCGTATGAGAGAGGAGGTGGTGAGACCATGCGTCGAGGATTATGATGCTGATGCCGGGGTAGCAGACATGTTAAATGACTATCACGAGGCATAGTTCGCTGAAGGACATATGGAGGAGCCTGAGGCAACCGCAAAGGCGTTCTATGACATGTTTGCCGCGGCACAGAAACCCCTTCACGGCCAGACAAAGGTTTCTAAACTAGATGCCATTGGACGCATAATGGCATTAAAGTCCCAGTATAGCTTGAGTCGAGACGCCTTCGATGGTATGTTGATAGTTATTGGCAGCCTGCTTCCTGAGGGTCACCTTCTGCCAAAGAGCATGCACGAGTCACAGAAACTCCTTCGTGCACTTAAGATGCCGTATGAGCAGATACATGCTTGCCTAAAGGGGTGCGTCCTATTTAGGAAAGAATACGTGGAAGCAAAGTACTGTCCAAAGTGTAAATCCTCTAGGTTCCTGGAGGTAGATTCTGGTGATGGCCAGAAGAGGCAGCTTGACATTCTCGTGACAATCCTACGACACCTTCCGTTCATACCGAGGATCCAACGGCTATACATGACCGAGGAATCCGTGAAACAGATGACATGGCACAAAAATGGCAAACAATACAATCCTGACAGGATGGTACATGCATCCAATGGTGAAGCATGGACCCACTTTGATGGCATTCATCATGAGAAAGCTAAAGAGGCTCGTAATGTACGTGTTGCACTGGCAATAGATGGGTTCAATCCTTATGGAATGATGGCTGCCCCATACACATGTTGGCCCATGTTCGTTATCCCCCTCAATCTCCCCCTGGCGTATGCTTTCAACGACAAAACGTATTCTTATCGTTGATAATTCCTGGACACCCGGGGAATAATATGGGTGTGTTCATGGAGCCTGTGATTGATGAATTGGTCCGTGCTTGGGAGGAAGGGGTATGGACATATGACCGAGCTACAAAGAAAAACTTCAAAATGCATGTTTGGTACCACTACTCCCTGCATGACTTCTTGGCGTATGGGATATTCTACGCCTGGTGTGTTCACGGGAAGTTCCCATGCCCAGTATGCAAGGAAGGTCTGAGGTTCATTTGGTTGCAGAAGGGTGGCAAGTATTCATCGTTCGACAAACATCGGCAATTCCTCCCTCTTGACCTTGCATTCAGACGAGACATCAAGAACTTTACGAAAGGTGTCATAGTGACAGACTTTGCACCACCGATAATGACTGGTGCCGCGGTTCGTGAATAGATAGATGGTCTCGTGGTCAATCCAGGAGGTGGTTTTGTGGGATATGGTGAGCAACATATGTGGACTCATAAGTCAGGCTTAACTCGGCTCCCCTATTTTGATGACCTTCTTCTTCCAC